CTTCAAAACAGAGTGTCTTCGTCACAGATATCATTAGCTCTTTCCTAGACCGTCTCACTATGCACCGCCCACCCACACCAAAGACTAAGGGCACGCTCCTCAAAGATCATGGAAAACCTTCGCGTTTTCTGCATCCAGTGGCTGCCCCTCACCCTGAAGTGTCATGGGGCACCGAACTTGCCCATCATCACTTCCTTCTATCCTCAGCCCCTCAAGGCTCCACTCTTCCTCAGAACCCAAGCAACCGCCCACCCAACCAAGACAGAAATCCTGAGTATGTCAGGGGATTCACTATACATATACTCCAGGTGACATTAAGGTCAGCTCTATTCACTGATTTACCACAAAATTCTCAAGCTAAAGAGTAATTGCGGGAACACACATTTTACCTCTGAAATACACTGACGCACATTAAGATGTGTTCAAGACAAACCCAAGGAAACTATTTTTATACAACTTTAAATATAGTATATAGTCTATATTTTATTTACCTCTTTAAGCTATTATACAGTTCTTATAAGTATATATTTTATAGCTTCTTAATCATTGATATGATTTATCATGACTAACTTAAATATTCCCCTATTGTTATAGAAGCTATCTAATTTTCCCTATTATAGGTAATATTTCAGTAAACATCTTCATTCATAAAGAATTTCTTCTTTTAAATTATTTATTAGTTATAAAATAAGTAAGTCCTGGGGATGCAGTGTACAGCATAATCACTACAGTTAATAACATTGTACTGTATATTGGAGAGTTGCTAAACGAGTCAGTTTTAAAAGTTCTCACCATTAAAAAAATGGTAATGGTGATGGGTGTGTTAACCACCTTTATTGAGGCAATCATTTCACAATATATACATATATTAAATTATTATGTTGTATACTTTAAACTTATACAATGTTATATGTCAATTATATCTCATTAAAAATATTATATTAGGATAATTTCAACAGCATGTATTTCTTAAAAAAATAAGTATTTCAATTTGGGGGGGTGGGAATTTTTTAATTATAGTTCAAAGGGCCATACCAATTTATAAGCCAGCATCATAATCTTTGATGGTCTTTCTACCTCAAGTTTATCCTCACAAATATTCCTCTCATATACTGTAGTTGAAAGTATAGCCTGGCACCATTACTTTAAAGGGCAATTCACAGTGTTTTGAAAAGTTAAAATATATACAACCTTTTGACCTTGGAATGCCACTCTAAGGAATTGCTTCTTTGAAATATTGGCATATCTACCCAAGGAAAAACTGACAAGGATATTCACTTTAGTATTTTCTATGGTAGTAGAGAAACAGAAATCACATAATTATTCATCAAAGGGAAAATAAATTATGACACATCGATATAATATCCAGTTGACCCTGAACAACGCAGGAGCTGGGCGTGCCCAACCCTACCACCACACAGTCAAAGCCTCCATGTAACTCTGGAACCCCCAAAACTCAACTACTGATAGCCTGTTCTTGGTTAGAAGCCTTATCAATAACATAAACAGCTGATTAACCCACATTTTGTATGTTATATGTATTATAAACAGTATTTTTACAATAAAGTAATCTAGAGAAAAGAAAATGTTATTAAGAAAATCATGAGGAAAACACATTTATAGTGTTTATTTTCTTAAAAAAATCTGTGTATAAATGGTCCTGCATAATTCAAACCCACGTTGTTCACAGGTCAACAGTATATTTATTTCTGTTTTAAAGAAACTATATGCTGCATCTATATATATTTTCAGTGTGTAGGGAAAGGTTAGGAGGATATATTTGCAGTGGTAATTTACAGAGGAAAATTATATTGAAAGAAAGGGAATGGCAGAGTGGTAAAAAGGAAGAATTACATGGTTTATATGTATTTGCATTGTTTATAGTGAGCATATATTTACCTAATACTTTTATACTAAAATAACTTTTGGAGTAAAAAAGTTCTTGGAATGAGACAAACTTCCTAATATTTGAGTGAAAAGAAACCTATTATTTCACATACTTCTTTCTCTCTCTCTCTCCTTTTATTTCATTATAAATCTAAACAAAACAATGCTAGCAACACACTCCACTCCTGATTTTAACAGTGGCCACTCTGCTGTAAATGAGTGGACCAGAATAAAAAGCCAGAAAGGAATTAGTGCTGAGACAGGAAAACAAAGAGTGGGGAATGTAAAAAAGTTAAGCAGACCTAAGAGCCACATATTTTCAAATAAGCTGCTTTCCAAATGACAAAGCATAATAAAAACCTACTTTTATGCATGTCACCTTTCATATTGCCTTCAACTTTTACAGTGGAACCAATGATTTGCTGCAGAAAGGAAATGCTGCATATTTACTTAAGCCTGTGGGTCTCAGAGTATACAGCACGTCTTCCAATAACAACATTTCTTTATGATGTTGATGAGATGCCCCAGGAACTTAACGCATGCTTGTGTCAGGGTAGAATTGGTTTCATTATACCTCTTTTCACCAAAGTTCCAAGAACCTATTGAAGACATTAAATGGGGGCCTACTGTGCTACTCTGCAGGTTATCTGGGTCAGCATCACCCGTGGGACTTATTAAACGTCAAAAGCCAAGATCTTTTGGTCCATCTAACTCCAGACCTGAAGTTAGAGGGTGGAAATGTGCAGCTTCACCAAGCAGCGCAGGTGACTCAAGAATCCCAAAGTGTAAGATATGTGTATTTTTCCATGTGTACTTGTTGCCCAAATTCTTTAGGGAAAAATAAGTATGTGCATTATACATGGGTAGTACTAATTCCATATCTGTATAAATGTTTTTAATTCTTTTATGACCAAAAATGTGGGTGAGTATTATATATACATGGCAAAATATGGTCCAATCTTAAGCACTGAGAAACACTGAACATCATAATTGTAAACAGAATCACTCCATAAATTTAAAAAATAAATTCTTATTTGGCTTTCTAAAAAACAGTATGGTCATAAATCATTTTTTAAAGATTAAACAATTTAACCTAAACAAAACCCAATCTGATTTAGAGTTTATGTACCACACAAGCAGGTACTGCTTCTATTTTGATCACAACTCTAGGCCCAGCACCCAGTGTCTGGCACAGAGTAGGCACTTGATAAAGATTTGTTAAATTCATATGATTTTCCCTGGCTGGCATAGCTCAGTGGATTGAGCATGGGCTGCAAACCAAAGCATCGCAGGTTCGATTCCCAGTCAGGGCACATGCCTGGGTTGCCGGCCATGGCCCCCAGCAACTGCACATTGATGTTTCTCTCTTTCTCTCTCTCCCCCTTCCTTCCCTCTCTAAAAAATAAATAAATAAAATCTTAAAAAAAAAGATAAATTAAAAAAAATTTCATATGATTTTGGACCAGGTTACTCCTCACATGTAGGAATTAATTTGGATAAACTGGGAGTGGCCAGTGGGAGGGAGGAATTTGAGACAAGATGGATCCCACACAGGGCCCTGCCACTGGGGAGAACATGCTCTCATTTCTGCCGCTTAACCTTCCTAAGTCTCCCATCCCTTTTGGTAAAGTACGGGAACAGGCTGTGTGAAATTAACTGCAAGGAATCATTTCAGTTCAGTCTGAAATACTGAAATTAGATTCTAGAGTTGTCTAAATATTCCTTTGACAAATGTCCTTGGGTGCTATCATTTTAAAGTTAATATCGTAAAGACAAAGAAACATTTTGAAATGTGGATTATTACCTTCACCACTTTGTCATTCTGTGATTAACCATGAGGACAATCCATTTGAAAGCAAAATAAGAAAGATAATGAGTAAAAAAGTAAAATGTCAGTCTACAAGTTGTGTCAGTTGTTATCATTCCAAATTACAAAATCGATTACTTATACAAATTATTTTCATCTAAATATTCTAGAATGACACCTAATATAATTAGTATCGAATGTGAGGCATAGTTAGCACAAAAAAAAACCCACATGCAAGCTCTCTTTTTGAGAAGAATTTTACAATAGTTCATAGAAAACTCATAACCACGGGATGGTCAATCACTTAACCACATGTTTCAAAGACTTTCTGAGCACAGAGACAATAAATACAAAATGTGCCAAATTTAGAAAACAGATCTACTTACTAATAAACATGACCTTCATTTATAGAGCTGCAAATCAGTCTTAATTGCAGCCGAGGGTCATGGAGAGCAGGAGCGAACACTAATCTGCATGGCCACCTCCACAACTCTGGTATATCAGAGCAGGTCAGCAGATGTCTTAACTGGTGAGAAACTCCCTAGGCTGCAATGGGAAAAACAATGAAGGGTGCCCTTAAGATTCCAGGAGAAATACTCATGAATCCAGAAGGAAGTCAAAAGTCATCCCAACCTCTGAAGCAGAGGGGGTGGCTTGGGAAGGCAAAAAGTCACCCTGAAACAGGGGGAAGTCAAGACACAGGTACCCTGGCTTGCATCACTGTTGACCATCCTAAGGGAGAAGTACATTTAAGTACAGGATTCCCCACAGTTACCCTCTTGCCCAGTCCCAGGAACACTTGCTCAGAGCCCCCAGTAGAGACAGCCACTGACAGAGCAAGGTGGTCTTTCCGAAACCTTGAAAGACCCACATGAAAGAGGGTTAAAAGACTTGTCCCACCTTCAGGAACCCACTGTGGTGGGCAGCACCAGTGTATGCAGGGCAGTGGAGAAAGTATGCTTAGCAGCAGGCTGCAAACAACCATTATTAAAGAAAGCAGAAAATAAAACCCTGGCACTACCTCAAGGCTCTTTGAGGGATAAAGCAGATGTGGCAACAGACAAAGCAGCAGTGAGTGTTGGCTCTTACCTATACAGGTAAGAGCCACAGTGGCAAAGGAGGGAATCATTGGAACAGCCTCCATGGAGGCTCGGGAGCCAGCTCAGTCAGCATCCTTGGGAACTGGACCCAGGAGCGATAGTACGTAGGGTGTCAAAAAGCACTACAAATGTCACTCATGCCCCCAACCATGCTTAAGGCTCGTGTAGTCAGCAAAACAAAGCTTGCAATAAAAGTGTCCACTCACCATCTTCCGGAGCCATGGTACTTTGGACAGTTTCATGAAGGTCAAATGAGGCTTAAAAGTTCTGCTTTCTCCTGCCAAGATGCCTTTTTCTTGAAATGTCCGTTTTGCAGCCTCTAAAGTAAATAAGAAACACGAAAAATGTAACTGCAACATATGGCTGTCTTCATAAAAATAGCAATTCAAAAAATAACAAAGTATCTTATAATGAAGATTACTTCATGTACATTCTTGGAGACATATTTTTTTTAAAAAAAGAACAAAACGCCATGTGCATGGTAAATATATTTACTACAGCCAAATCTGCACTGATTTCAAACTTCAGGTAAAATGCACAATTTCAAAGAGAAATGTTTAATAAAATGACTGTTTGGCTGATAAGATGCTGACTTCCACTGATTATACCAGTGGTGTCCACATGTATAAAAAAGGACTAGTTGATCTGTAACCTTCACATCTAAGACCTTTGCTTCTGACCAAGATGGCATAATAGGAATCAGATTTGCCCTTCCATCTGCAACAACCAATAAGAGGACAAAGTATATGAAACAGTGGTTTGTAAGACACTGTACACACCAAGCACTGAAGGTCAGTGCTCTCCCTACATGTCTAGGCCCCTGCTCAAGGAGGAGAAACCCAGATGGAGCCCAGTCACCTCACTGGGCTCAGAAGAGAGTTAAGAGTAGGAAAGACCAAGGCATCTGGAGCTCACAGGGCAGAGTAATGGAGGCGTGAGACCTGCACAGAGCAAAACTCCAGAAATCCATACAGGGTCCCCTTGAGTATTCACAGACCAGCACATACCTATGAGCAAACTACGTCCTATAAAAACCCTTTGCTGCAAGTCAATGCCACCAAATGATCTTTCTTCTCTCTTCTATGGTAATACAGAAGGCTAAGCAACTGATCGGTAAAAAGCCAAGAAAACACTGATTCTTTGTTGCAGACAGCAGAAGACAACTTTGGCTCAGTTACGCAGGAAAGGAATCTATAGAAGAGCATGGGAGGACTAGAGCACCAAGCTAGAAGGGCGTGAGGCCAAGATGCCCAGAGTTACGGAGAACAGACCCAGTGACAGCACAAGGTTTTCCCACTGGCACCACTCACACACTGTGCACAGCAAAGGGCTAGAACTGCTGCCGTCAGCCTTAGACTGATGGCAGCTACCACCGACGACACGACCCATCCCAAGAATGGGTTCAGTACAGTTCTTTTTTGTTCTAGTTACTAGCTTCTGATTTCAAGGCCTGGGACAAAGCAAGAGCATGTTCCTACCACCAAAGGAATCTGTGATAGAATGTGCCTGACATGGGAGATAATGAGGAAGAGTTTAGATATTGGTCAGCCAAAGAGAAAGAAAGGCAACAGACCAACATACATGTCTTTTAAAACAATAAAGAATATACATAACAAGTACTGTTATGTAATTAATTTATCAAAGTTTAGCTCATATAAGTTATAAACAGGTATACCTTTTCTCAACTACCTTGTCAAACCCACCTTTGACCCTCTCTATTTTGACATGTTCTCAACTATTTTTAATAGACCTGGAGTTAAAATATTAGGCTGAATCATACAAAATTGTCATTTTTATGAGCCAAAAACAGTCAAACATTCGCAATGTCTGATGGTTTAACCAACAACAGGGTAAACTAACTTGCTAAGTTTCTAATATTTGAGTGAGGGGATCAGAGCATATTCTCTGAGTCTTCGAGTATTTGAGGAATCATCACATAGACGAGCTTATGATAGAAATTTACCAAGAGGTTCAGACCAACCCAGGAAACAGAAATAGCGTGAAGGTACAAAAGCAAAAATTCCTTTGTTCTGTTATGTTCTGAGCACTTCCCAACATGTCAGGCACCTTACCTGCTAACGACAACACATGGGTCCCTGCTTTTATGGAGCTTGCAGTCTCATGGGACAGATTTCAGCCCAACAAAGAGAAGGACTCAACAATGTTCAGAATTATCAAAACGTACAAGAGATACAATGAAAGGAGTTTTATTAACAAAAACTAAAATAGTAGGCATCTGTATTATTCATTATTATCTACCTTAATCTTTACACGTTATTTGATTCTAAAAACAACAGCATTTTTCAATTTACTGGTCAAATTTTGAACCAAGAGTTCTCATTATTCATAGAAATCATTGAAGTGATTTCTGAATAATGATTTCATGAAATCATTATTCATGGAAATCTATTCACAAAACTGATTTATATATTTGTCACAAAGCACATTTAATTTTCATTAATGTGTTTTTCCAGGACAGTATATTCTCTAAGTACATAGATACAGGGAAAAAGAAAATGCCACCTTCTTTTTGAAAAGTACTTCTTAGTATTGATTTTATATTCCTAATAACTGTATAATCTATTGCTTAGGCAGAGTACTGAATAATAGTTATAGATATAGCATTCTTGAGATAAGAAGAGTTTTTGCTAGTGTGAAAACCACATGTCATTCTTCATCTATGTTAATTTATATTCTGGAAAAGAAGCTTATGAATAATTTAAGAGACTGTTCAATTCCTTCCAGTACCGCAGACATTCCTTCAAGCACTAAATAGAAAACCACACAGCAAATTCATCAGATAGCCTTCACAAGTCGCCTAAGAATGCTTCCTAAATAATGTAATTTACCTGATAGCTAAAGATGAAAATTGTCTGAAGAACAATTTCTTAAAATACATTATAACTACAGTAGACTTTGTTATATAAATGAACACTGGAATGAATAATTTAATAAAGAAACAATACTTTTGTTATCCTAAGAAACATAGTTTTATCTGGGGGTTTCTTGTTGGGAGGGGGGTGGTTTCCATCTATTCAGCAAATATTTATTGAGCTGCTTGGTACTGGGCAGTTTTATCTGTTATTTAAGTTTTTTATATATTTTTTTACAGAGAAAATTTCTCCAGGTAAACTCTTTTAAATATGTAGCAACAATAAATGTATACCTAAAATGTAAAGAAATTGCTGAAAGTTGTATAAAAGTAAACTGTAACACATCAATTTCAATAAACTTGTGTATTTTTAATTATATACACTTTCTTGTGAGGCAAATACTTCTCCTTTTCTTCCTTTTTTCCATTGTCTCCCCTGTTGGGAACCGCCCTGCCTAGTTTCAGAAGCTGTAACCCCCCATGGCTAAAGCTGAGTGAGAGACCTTGGGACCATAAGTCACTAAGGAGACAAAGCTTATCTCCCTGGCAGGGGCACTGCCTCTGCTCCCTTTTACTTCACCCTGCTTGCCCTGAGCCTGACCAGTTAGCCAATGACAGGTAAAATTCCTCAAGGGAGGGACAACCTAAGACAGGCAAGATCACAAGAGGAAGATCACAGGCAAGACCCTCAGGGAAGGACTTGGGGGCTATAGAAAAAGGGGGTGATGGACCCTCACCCCTTGGCTTTGACATAGCCTGAGTTCTCATTCTGTCTACAAGAAGTCTCTTAATCTCTTGGCTGTCTTACTTCCCCTGCCTGACTTAAGCCTGAAACAATGACAGAGGGTGGTACAGCCCTGTGCTAGAAAGGGTGGGCTCCCCAGGGGCAATCAGGTCTAAGAAAGAATACATAAAACCTGCTTTGCTAAATTGAAAATGCACTCAATTTTCTGATAAGGGTCCGAGCAGGAAATGAGTTTGTTTCCCAAAGTTTTATAGCCCTTTAGCTAACTGGCCCTGACTCAGAATAAGCCCTCCTAGTTCTTTGTATGTTATCTACTGTTTGATCCTTACTGCCTGACAATGATTGATCAGCTTTACCTGTATTCCTGTGCAAACTGAACCCAATAAAAGCCCATTGAGGAAAAGGCTCCTGGTCCTTCTCCTTTGAGAGATCAGCCACGTTTCCTCCCCAAGCAGATGTCTTGGTAGACTTATTCTCATCTGCAGCGGACAGGGGACTCTGAAGGCAAAGCTCTCCCACACTCCCCTTTTCTAAAATAGTGAGGTTTTACATAATAGCATGATCCATGATTTGAGAATATTTACAAAGAGAGGTAATTTTCTATTGAGATACACAAAGAAGTTTGTTTATAAGAATAGTCTAGGCCCTGGCTGGTGTAGCTCAGTGGATTGAGCGCAGGCTGCGAACCAAAGCATCACAGGTTCGATTCCCAGTCAGGGTACATGCCTGGGTTGCAGGCCATGACCCCCAGCAACCACACATTGATGTCTCTCTCTCTCTCTCTTTCTCCCCACCTTCCCTCTCTAAATAAATAAATAAATAAATAAATAAATTCTTTTAAAAAATTGTTAAAAAAAGAATAGTCTAGGATACTAATATAAATTAGGTGGTCCTAATATATTCTTAACTATATATGTTGTATTTCAGTAAGTGGATGCAACAGAAATAATAAGTTAGATTTTAGTTTAAAAGACTGACTTGTGATTAAACAATACACCATATAATAGATTAAGTGCTAAGTTCTTTCCATCCTTCCCAACTGGTAGACACTTTCTAAGACTATTGTAAGATATAGTAAAAGTATGTCACATGTAATATTAAAAATCTCAATAAAATTTTAGAGTCACTTTTTAGCCATCTAAAACTTTAAAGAAATAAAAACCACACAACTGCTTTTGTCGTTTCCATTTTATTACTATTTGAAGGATTCTTATTTCCATATGCTGCTTCAACTATTTCATTTTAAATGGTTTTAGTATGTCATTTGAATTCTATGTTCAAACATAAAGGCTGGCATAATGTTAAAACCAACTTCAATTTAAAACTTTTACAGTCATCATTCTAAATAAATGTTTCCAATCGACTGCTGTATAAAACTATCAAATAGGACTTTAAAACATTAAAATCAAGTCTTTAAAATTACTCCTTGATACTAGAGGAATCACATTAAATCCACTGTAATTGACAAACAAGAAAAAAAGACCCAAATTGAGCATCCTAGTAACATTGGCCCAGTTCTCCTATTATTCAACTTGTGTTCTTGAGTGGGTCATTTAACTTGACAGTAGAAGTGATGAGGTCCCTTCTCTCAGGTCCCTTCTTATCCTAACAACTGAAGTAACCTGTCCGAGAGCTCCAGTACATTTGCAGGGGATTCTAGACACCAGGACTGGATTTTATTCTCATGCAAACAGTTAGACAT